TACTGGATGTCATTATTTAATTGGAGGAATGAAAGTACAAGGATAAGCTCCTTATTTTTAATACAATGCTTTAACACAATGAGGTTCAGCTGATGCAAAGAGAAATAGGCTTTTATCTGAGTTCGTACACCAAAATGTGAAAGACTTAGAAATCTGTACGGTTCAGTCTGATGGATTGCTACATTCTTCCAGAATTTTAAATTATTCTGCAAACGTCATTTAAATTCTCGCGTTAGTTGATTACGTGCTATTTTCTGTTAAGACCTTAAATAGGCATTGCTTACTATGAACCAACATTAGTTCCAAAATGCAAAGAATAAGTTTATAATTTTAACTTCGATACATTAGAAAATAAATATACTGAAATTTATTTTGTGTTTCAACTCTCGCTTTCTTGTGTTTTTTTTCTACATTGCCTTACTTGCAGTGCAAGAGAAATGGTATTTGTTTGAATGACATTATGAAATAATGTATGCTTATCAATTAAATATCATGGCCAGTGATTTAGAATCCTGGGAAAATCCTCAGGGCTTGAAAAGCAAAATTCAGCCAGGGACCTTGCTCTGGATAAGTGTTCACAATCTTCACTGCAACTGAAGTTATTCAACATCCCAGTTTATACTCATGATGAACATATATTCCCCCACGTCCAAGTGTCTCATTCTTTGTCTACCTATTTGTTTCTCTCTCTCTCTCTCTCTCTATGTGTCTGTCTCTATATGTCTCTCTCCCATTCTGCTACCCCAGCCTTCACAAAAGAAAATCCATATGCTAACTTTCACACTCAAGCTGTGTCCTTTTCAGCTTCACTAAAACGAACAGTCTGCACATTTGCTTTTGTAAGGCTTGGACAGTGAGGAATGGGATATAATGTATGGCCCAAGGATATCCAGACGTAAACATGTAAAGAGTAGAAATGTTTACAGGGGTTCTTTGCAGAGATTACAGATCTGCTGGATAAGACCAAAGCAGTGGATAGCTGTCTGAATTTCAGAAAGCCATTGGTACTATCATACATCACAGACATTCTATAGGGCTGGGATCAGGCTAGATTGATGCATAGTCAATAATGGTGCCATGTGTGGAATGCAAGAGTGGAAACTAATTGCCAGAAGACTCTACAAAAGTTGTTGTTTGGGCAACTGAAGTTGTGTAAACAATTTTTAGAGCAGGGCATTTTATACAAAATATCTAAATTTATAGGTGGTACGTAATTAGGTCTAGTGCCCAATGATAATGAGCATGCAATAATGTAGAAGAATCTGGGCATGCCACATAAATGGGCAACCAGATCCTTAGTGTAAAGCACTTTGTTGAAAATATCTTGTTCATGGTTCGTGTGTTTTAATATATAATTTTTAGTTTTAGGAATAAGGGGGAATTAATTTTCAGCAATAGAAAATGGGATAAATACAATTGAAGCACATGGGAAGGCTATTAGCAGGTTGGGGTCATGTTCCTTTAAGACGTTAACAGCTTGAAGGGTAAGATCAGAAATAGAAGGTGAGCTTGCTGAGCTGGAGATGTGTGACTGCGCTGCTTTCAACAGTCCAGCAAGATAGTCCAGCAAGACTGTTTGTTTTGGACTTTAAAGCTAAATTAGTTAAAAGCATTCAGTGAACACTGAAAACCTGTGCAAATGCTTATTTGATCAGATCAAACAGGTAATTGTAAATGACATACCTAATCTCAGCATCACTTTCAGGACAGCTCAGAACAGGCTAGGTTGTCATGGGTTCTGAGGAAGGGTCACCGGACCCGATACATTAATTCTGATTTCTCTTCACAGATGCTGCCAGACCTGCTGAGCTTTTCCAGCAACTTCTGTTTTTGTAGATCATCAAGGGGATGGGTGGAGCTTAAGGTTTCCAATTAAATTAGATTCCCTACAGTGTTGGAAACAGGCCCTTCGGCTCAACAAGTCCACATCGACCCTCAGAGCATCTCACCCAGATCCATCCCCCTATAACCCACCTAACCTACACATCCCTGAACACTATAGGCAATTTAGCATGGCCAATCCACCTAGGCTGCACATCTTTGGAATGTGGGAGGAAACCGGAGCACCTGGAGGAAACCCACGCAGACATGGGGAGAATGTGCAAACTCCACACCGACAGTCGCCCAAGGGTGGAATCGAACCCAGGTCCCTGGCGCTGTGAGGCAGCAGTGCTAACCACTGTTTCCTTGGTTTCAATTGCCTGGAGACCAATTAGTTGCAGCTTGAAACTGAAAAAAATGGTAAAGCAAAGTAGTTGTTTCAGGTAGCACAAGGACTGGTGTTAACAGACTCCAGCCAATGAGTTGAATGAAGCCCGTATTAGTATTTGCTTAATGCAGCTGAGAAAGTTTGGAATTTAGAGAAATTTGGTGACAGCTCTATGTGGCAACTTGGTAAAAGCTGAAATTGTGTTATAATTAGACATTTGGGAACAATATTGGAATTCTGGAGAACTCGAGTTTGGAAAGGAGATTGAACAAGGCAGTGTGAGAAATCATTGATGCATGCCAAGTTGGAGAGGTTTGAGGGCATTCAGACTGGATTTTCAAAAGTGAAGACCTGTAATCCCTTGTGTGGGTGACAGAGCCTAATGATATTTGGTTACCCACATCACCACCAACATTTAGATCTGTGTTGACCACACTAGCTTTTTAAAGGCCTCACAGAGACGTATTTGACCATAGTTTGTCTGTTAACTCATATTAGCTCATGTTAATCTTGAGTGTTAGATTCTAAGTTGTGTATATATACTGTATATGGTTGAGAATCATTGCCTTATCCACTGCCAATATCTTTTTACTACTTATTGCTTATGAATGTTTTGTTCAAGTTTATATAATTAAGATTTTTTTTGGCATTTCAATTGAAGTGCGGAATCCTATAGTTTACTTTATTACCCTTGGTTCTTCCACGCATTCCGTTTTCCAGATATTATGCTTGATTAAGCTAGTTGGTGATCTGGCTTCTTAAAATTAATTCAAGGTGTACGGGCTTCACTGGCCAGAAAAGCATTTGTTGCCCTTCCCTAACTGCACATGAGAAGGTCATGGTCAGCTACCTTCCTGAACCACTGCAGTTAATTTGTTGTGCACACACATACACACATCTTAGCACATTGACACAGTGACTGTAAAGGAACAGCGATATTTTTCCAAGATAGGTTGATGAGTGACTTCAGAGAGAATTTGCAGGTGTGGCGTTCTTTGGTATCTGCTGCCCTTATCTTTCTAGATGGCAGTAGTTGTAGGTTTGGAAGGTGCTGCCTAAGGAGCCTTGGTGATTTTTACAATGTATTTTGTAGATGGTACACGCTGCTGCTACTTTGCATTTGTGATTGAGGGAGTGAATGTTGAAACTGGTGGATGTGTTGCCACTCAAACAAGCTGCTTTGTCCTGGTTGGTGGAAGACTTCTTATTGGGTCGCACTCATCCAGCAAGTGGAGAGTAGTCAATCACACTCTTGACTTGAGCTTTGCAGGTGGTGGACAGGCTTTGGAAGACAGGAGGTAAGTTGCTCACCGCAGAATTCCTAGCCTTAACCTGCTCTTGTAGCCAATGTATTTATATGGTCGTCCACTTCAGTTTCTGGTCTATGGTAACTCTCATTCCTTGATGGTAAGGCCATTGAATGTCAAGGATTGATGGCTATATTCTCTCGTTAATGTGTCATTGTCTGGGACTTGTGTGGTGCATATGTTACATACAAGTTGGCTAACTCAGATTTGTATATTGTTCATGTGCACATGGATTCAGTCTACTTCATTATCTGAGGAGTGCTGAATGGTGTTGAACATTGTGCAATCATAGGTGAACATCTCCACTTCTGACTTTGGAATATGAGGTTGGTCATTAGTGAAGCAGGTCAAGATAGATTTCCCACTAGTTCCAGAGTCTATAAATGCTAGGGCTCTTTGATATTACACTCTATCAAATGTGGCCCTAACCCTGGCAGAACCCAAATTGAGCCTTTGTGAGCAAATTATTGCTAAGCAAGTGCCACTTGATAGTTTTGTTGATGACTGCTTTGCTCACAAAAATGCAGAATGCAAATAAAATGTTGATGTATTGCTAATATTATGATTTCCTTAATTTAAGGAAGTGATATTGATTTCATACCTGGCTTTTGTGAGCTACACCAAATAGTGCATTTGGAACTCTAGTGTTATATGAACAATGTGGGATTAATGTGTGAGACAAGGAGGCAATGAGGCAGTTTCTTGAACGTTGTGGGATCGCTTTTGATGAATAATACTCTCTTTTAAAGTTTTACTTTCTAAAGAAGGTGGCACAGGGTATTTGGACCTCGGCAGGTTCTCTGGCATTGGGTCTTGTGAACTAATTTGAAGTGAAAGCTGTCAGGAAATTTTAAACACATTCAAATGGCGGGATAGATTCCCATTTGGCAAGGTGCAAAAGATTTTTTTTCAAATTGACTTGGACCAATTTCAATTTTAAAAGCATACAGAATTATTCATTCCAAAATCACCGTAAGGAAACAAATAGAGTTCAAGGGTATGCTTGTTGGACCAAAAGGCTTCTGTCCAAAATATTTTTATATGCTACTTGTTTGCTTTGGTGATCCTAGGAATTAGAGAGATGTTTTTGGGATTGAAGACATTTGTTTGGTATGTTTTGACACAGTCTAAAAGATCCCCCCACCCCCCACCCCACTTCCAAAACTTCAAGACTAGGGTAGTAACTCTTGGAGATACTGATCTGTAACAAGAATAGAGTAGCGGCTTGTCTTTGACTACTTCTAAATTCTCAATTGAGAATTACATTGTCTTGTAATGTACTGCAATTAATTATATTGGTTTGCACAATTTTGCTTTTTGTTTATGCAAGTAATATAGTTGTAAAAATTTTTTAAAGCCCAATTATATTTAAAGTATTCATGGAATGATTAAAGTGTAAACTGTAAGGTAATAATCATATTTCGCACTGCAGAATATTGCAAATAAGTGGTGGTATTAAATTATTTGCTTTCTTTCCTTCACAGACGCCTAGTCCTTGTACCTTGTGTACTTGCATTAGTTCAAACACAAGTGGAAAAGATGAAGATGATACAAAAGGGAAGAATAATGGGAAAACACAAGTCCCCAAGATATTTTTTGGGACTCGTACACACAAGCAAATAACACAAATCATTCGTGAACTGCGTCGCACTAATTATTCATATGTTCGAATGACCATCCTATCCAGCAGAGATCACACCTGTGTCCATCCTGAGGTCTCGGGTACCTGCAACAGGAATGAGAAGTGCAAGGATCTACTGGAAGGAAAAGATGTAAGTAATATTTACTCAGTTCTCTTTGTTAACCAGCTCGTCATAGGTGTGGTACAAACCCGGGAACAGGATGTAAACCATTCAGTCCTTTGTGTCTGCTCTGGCATTCAATAAGATCTTGGCTGATCTGATTGTAACCTCAAATCCACATTCCCTCCTATCTCTGATAACTTTTCAACCTTTTTTGCTTAACAGCATTCTATCTACCTCTGCCTAAAAATCATTCAGGACTCTGCTTCGACCAATTTTTCAGGAAGACAGTTCCAAAGACTCGTGACTTTCTGAGAGAGAGAGAGCAACTTTGCCTCATCCATGTTTCAAATGGTTGACCCCTGGTTTTTAAACTGTGACCCTAGTTCTAGGTTCTCCCATAAGAGGAAACATCCTCTCCATATCTACCATGTCAAACACTTCAGAATGTTTTGTATTTCAGTCAAATTACCTCACATTCTTCTAAACAACAACATGTATAGGCCTCGCCAGTCTAGTGTTCCTTTATTAACCAACCCACCCACTCCAAATATTAGTCTAGTAAACATTCTCCAACACATCGTTCCTCAAATTACTCCAGATACAGTTTCACCAGGGCCCTGGTGAAACTGTAAGTGTAGCCTTCCTACTTTCCTATTTAATTCCCTTGTGACAAATGTTAACCCTTTTAGCTTTCTTGATTGCTGCATCTGCATTCTAATCTTTTGCAATTCATGCATGAGGACACCCAGTCTTAATTAATCTCAGAGATCTACAATCTCTCACCACATTGAATATATGCTTCTATTTTATTCTTCCTTCCAAAATGGATAGCTTCACATTTTCCCACATTATCCTCCATTTGCAGATCTTTGCCCACTCACATAACTTATCAATATCTTTTTATAAACTCCTTGTGTCCAGTTCACAATTTAATTTCCTATCTATCTTTGTGTCATCAGCCAATTTGGCAACTGTATCTTCTGTCCTCTCATCGAAGTCATTTAAACAAATTATAAACATTGAGGTCCTAGCACCAATTCCTGTGGTACACCACTTGTTACATCTTGCTAACCTGAAAAACACCATTTATGCCTACTGTCTGCTGGCCAGACTTCTATCCATTCTGTGCTACTTCCTACACCATGAGCTTTAATTTTCCACTGTGGCACCTTATCAAGTGCATTATGGAAATCAAAGTATAGTGCATCCATCCATTCCCTTTTATCCACAGCATATGTTACCTTAGGATATCTTGGGCAGACTTCTTTCTTCCTCATCGATAAGTGGTGTTAGAAACTACAGATGGTTTGTTCAATACCATTGCACATCAAAAATGCAGGAATTCAGTTCTATGTTAGTTAAATAGTCCCATGCTAGTGCTTCATTTATGACTCAGTGAATATATATTAGCCCTGTTGTCTCAAATGTTTATATTTCTGACTGCAGGAACTGATAGGAGTTTTAGTATTCTGCATTTCAATTTCATGCAGGGCTTTGCCTTGTAACTATGTATAATCGCATAGACAAACAGCCACAGGTCATTATGATTGTGCAAGACAGACAAATAATTTAGTTTTGGAAAACTGGAACTAACAACATAAGCTTTGAAGCAACCATATTGATTGTTGAATTTTACAGTAAAATTGATGGAAATATATTTGTGAACACTTCAGTACCATCTTATTTCAATTTGGTAGAAACACATTGGTCCTGATTATTACTATAATATTCTGTTTGCATTTCTTGCTGCAAATAATTCCTGATTGGATAAACACAGCAGACTATCAGAAAATGTACAAGTTAAATTAGATTTTAAAGTACAAACCTGCTGGTTTAGTTGTCTGCCAACAATTCAGAGCACGTATTTAATGTGCAAAGTGGAGACAATTCTTTAAGTTAATGTTAATGACCTGCATCTAGTGGTGAAGGATCCCTTTGGTTTGCAGAGGATGCATGAACATTGGCAGTTGTGTTCTGAAGTAGCCTCAGAAAATTAACTGAATTAACTGAGAATTAACTGCTTTGAATAGATGGTAGGCTAGTGAAAGGTAGAGTCCCTGTTTGAAGATTTCTTTCATTTTAGCTGGAGCACCGCGTATCTATTGTATTTGCCAGTTTAGCTTAATCCTGTAGAGGGTTTGTTTTTGCAATTTGATAAACTTCACTTGTTTAGAACCTTTAAAAAATACAATGTATACTCATAAATACAGAAAAGGGTCAGAATCTGCAATGCTGGGGTCACAATTCAACATGATTACAAAATTTTGCTGGCTCACAGATTGATCTGAACTGGAGTCAAAAGCCACTGCTCATCTTGGATATTGATGACTGATACAGAAATGAAATACTGCAGATGCTGGAGATCTGAAACCTCAACAAAACTGCTGAACAGGCTGAGCAGGTCAAGCAACATCTGTGGAGAGAAAGTTATGTTTCGGGCTGATGACCTTGTGTCAAAGCAGAAGGAAAGGCAGTGGATGGAGTCAAGGAGTAGGAAGAACAAGGGAGAAGATTTTTGATAGGGTGCAGGCAGGGGGGGCGGGGATTAACTATTAAAAGTTTCATGATGCAACAGCCAAAAAGAGATTGCTCTGAATGTTGCCTTTTAATTGCAAAGTATCAGTCAGTGTGTCTGCTGACCGATACACTTCAATTCTGGTTAGTCACTTTGATGCCTTCCTGCTGAATTTGTTAATACTAGCTAAAAAAAAACACTGATTTTGTAAAGTATAAAGGGAAGCTGTAGATCCTTTGGTAGAATTCTGAGAGTGGTCAGGCACTCAGATGACTATCTTTTGCCTTCAGCCTCTGTAGTGAGAACGTTTTACATTGTTGGATCTTCTGAAATGAAAAGCATTGGCAGTGCTTGTCAGTAGAAATCATGTTCTTTTGAATCCTCTTGCAAGGGGTGCCACTACTTGCACAGTTTGCTTTTTACTAAGAATTCATAAAACCTAGAGTTTGGTTACTTCTAACATCATTTCCATTGTGGATATTTTCTGAAAATTTATCTTTTCAATGATCAAGTAAATTAGGCATATTCCATGACTCCTAATTGCATGAAATTGGAAAGGTTTGGCAGTGCGAAGTGATGCCAACAGTTCTGGTTCAATTCCCACATTGCTGCTCACCCCATTTCTCCCTCGCTCCCTCTCTCACTGTAATGCAAAAGCATCCATATAGTCCTCTGGGAGTAGGTGAAAATGCCTTTACTTTCATGTATGATGAGCACCATTACAGTCTCTGTTAAAACTAGAGAAATAGATTGCAAGTTGGTTATTTTTTTTGTGAGCTGGTTTATTTTCCAGTATTGACACAGCTGCAAAGTTTATATTTTTAAAAATGAAATGAATTTCTAGGCTATAGCCTTTGGGACCCAGATTCTTGTTCTGACCGAGAACCATCTATCATAAATACTTTTGCTTAGATTTGTAATTCATTCTGCTTGTTCCAGGACTTATTCCATAAACATGTTTCCATTGTGTACTTTATTTGATAAAATTAAAGTGTTTGAGTGTGTGTATGTGTAATTTTTAACATTGAATTAATAAAGAATACTGAATGCTACAGCTTTCAGGAAATAAACCTTACAACAGTTTTTTTTTACTACTGATATGTTTCTCTAATTTATTTTCTCATAGATCGTAGCATTAACAAGAACTGAGTGTACCTTGTTTTGTTATAAACAGTACAGCTAATTGCAGAAAGTTCATATGAGGTATAATTTTTAAATTCCTATGCTCTGACTCCTGGAATTTTATTAAAGAATGGAAATTGGCATAGATCGGGATAGACACTTTTAACCTAGAGTTTACACATAATAAAAAGAGAGTAGTCAGTTGACAAGGCTCCTTGGGGACTGGGTGTAATGGAAAAGTCTAGCAGGCCACTGTACAACTGAATTGTTGTGAGATATCATCAATTATTGTAACACAAACCTTGTGTCATATCTGCCTTCTAAGAAATTCTGTTACCACAGCCCTGGGTGGCAATTAACGTAAAGAATATAGCCACTCAGTCATTGAGTTTTGTTAAAGCTTTTGTCAGAATGACAGAAACAGACTTCTGCCTATCAGGTATAGCTGATCATTTATGTTGCACCTTCCACAGCCCCAGGGTAGATTGGAATTGTAATAATCAGCAATTACAGTGGCACCATTGTTATGTATGTTTAGAAACAGTGTATTGTCAGATGATAAATAGATAGTTGACAGATTGAGTGTGAACGGATGTTTAGAGACACATTTAATATATGATCACACTTCCAGTGACAATTATATCCTAACACTTGTATTACAGAATTGTAGCAGATAGTCTTTCTAATTTTGCAGTCTGTAGAGGTAACGGTGTTAAAATACCAGAGGATTGTGTATATTAGAGAATTGATCTGCAAATACTGAATCAAGTATTATACTGTAAACTAATGTCATTACCCTTTACATAAATATCATTTAAACAGTCCAAATTTATTCTTGTTTTCAGAAATGCAGAGTTCCATAATCATCCATTCTGAGTTGAACATTGTTTTATTTTAATAAAGACAATGTAATAGGAATGGTGGTGAATTCCAAGGATCCTGAGATAATTTTACCTGTTTAGATTTTTGTGCGAATAGCAGTACAAGTGAATATCTTTGATTCAGTTGTGTGGTTTTATGTCTAATGTGATTTGGAAGTTAGAAACTGCAATTTCAGTGGAATGCGATTACATTTAATTTTACATGTAGAGATTTGGATGGATTGTACTAGCAATTTGGTATCATGACAATGCAGTGAAACTGTGGAGAAGATATGGAATACTTGGTGCCCCTATTTAAGACAAGCATCTTTGAAACTCTCTGTGCAAATGTTACTTTGGCTGAGTCACAGGACCTACTCTGAGGCAGCTGCCTCTACACTAGCCACAGGGTTGTCTGTTCTCTAGCTAACTGTTCTCCTCAGCTGCTTTTATGCTTGTTTACTTGACTGGCTGGAAGGCTGATTTGTTGACAAGTTCAATGTTCTTTTGAGTTGACTTTAGTTGTAATC